ATTGTCGCCGAGTCTTGGGAATTGCAAGGCTGTTGAATCTTGATCGAAATCGAACTCTGGGATTGTTGAATTAACCTACATACTATTTACATATTAAGGTAATCGATCGAGCCCTCGTGCGTAGACGAGCAAGCACTCAACGACCGATCTTACAAAGTTAAGTTCCGTACGCAGACGGTTAAACACTCAAACAATGTTTTATACATAAAATAAAAGATGGTCGTGCCCACTCGCGGGTTGAGCCCCACCCCATCCAAACATAAACAGCAGAGTTAGTGACGATACAACACCAAATTTTCTGAATTCCGAGTTCTATCTATCGATCTCCCGGTGGTTGTTTCAAGACGGTAAGTGCCCGGGCGAACGACCGATGTGACCACATACGGTGTAACACCCCTAAAATTTAAAACTTTTTAAGACATATAATCGGAAGGTTGTTCTATTATTAATCCCAAACAGAGCATTCTAAACATAAGGGTCTGGGGTGTTATGCCACATCTGAGCTGGAGAACTCAGATGCACAAGCTATACTAACTAAATATCCTCAAAGTAATGTCAATACATCATCAAGGTACGCAGGCCGAAAGGAAAACTAACTATCTAAGCCTTGGTCCTCTGGCGCGCTTCGGTAGCTAATCATCTGTGCCTGAAAGCCAAATATATCTGTTCAACGAATAATACTGGTAACCCACTCCAACGCGTTAAAATACAATATAGGTATATATATTGGTAGGATATATCCCGACTGAAACTCCTTTGTTTCTCTTGTTCTTTGTGCAGCTTTTGCAAGTCGGACATTCTTAAGTAAAGTCGGTCGGACCCGGCCTACAGACTTCCCGACCGGGCTTTTATTACCCGCTCGGTGGGTCTTATCTCACGGAGAGTCAAGGATCTCGAGAAGAGGCACGTGGCAAAGTTATACGTTGACAGATAGGGCTCGCCGAATGAAGACGTGTCGATGCTACGTGGGTCACATGCCGGCCGGCCGGAGTTGTGTCTCCGGCCCAGCGGCTATAAATACCCACGGCGGTTACAGTGTGAGGGACTTTTGAACGATCGACAGGTTATCAATTGAGCTGCCCGACCGCAGTCAGTCGGCCCTCGGGATAATCACTTAGATTGTATTAGGTCCTTCTTGATCAATAAAATACTTTATTTGTTATTACTTGATATCATTTAAGTACCTTGACCACTTAACACGTGGAATTAGTACTATCATTTTGGCACCGTCCGTGGGGACCGGGTACGAAAGCTATCGTAGACGAGTACCAGTTCCTTTGTACCACTATGTATCCATTCATGTACCAAGTAGCTGAGGATAAGCAAGCCGATGTAGCAAGTTCATCCGATCACCAGCGTACACAGTATCAGGGTCAGACCATAGATCTGAACCTCAATTTGTCGCCACCTCGATCGGCAGGCCAGAACCCGGTCAATTATATCCAACCAGCTTACCCACCGCCCGGTCCGCAGTATCCGTTTCCCAAGCAATATCCATATCCGATCCCTCCTCCTCAATATGGGTGTTGGCCCGAAACACCGATGTATTATCCACCACCAACCGGCTATCCACAATATATACCTGCGTACACGGCTCCAGCTTCCGCTCCTCCGATTTACCCAACCATGCTACCCAGCCGGAGCTTCAGCCCGCCCCCGGGCTAGGCGCTCGGCTTGTTCGAGGTTGGGGTCGCAGGGTGCCGAGGTCATGGAGGAACCACGGCAGGCTCCACAGGTTCAGCCAGAAACACTGGCTCAGGTGGTTGAAGACCATGAGCTAGAAGCTACCCGGGCGATGGCATTCGAGCGGCTCCGACCAGCAATGCAGCAAAGATTGGGACCGCAGGATCCAGACAGGCGCTCGGTTGATTCGCCCATGCAAGCGGCCAACCAAGAGGGATCGTATGGGCATAGTGGGTCTAAATCACATCGACAACGCCGTGCTCGGGAACAAGCCCGGACGGTCGAACAGGACGAGACCCGAGGAATGTTAAACGATCTCCGGGCGGAATTCACTGGTTGGCAAAACGAGCACGCTGTGAGGCCTCCCACCAATCATACAGCCTTTCTATTGAGGACACCCTTCACGGCGGAGATTATGGCTCAGCCTTACCCGCTCGATTTGCGCATCCCCGGAAACAAGGAATATGATGGGCGGATAGACCCAGAAGTTCATGTCAACACCTACTATGGCAACATGCTGATGATGGGCGTATCTGACACCGTGATGTGCAGGATTTTCTACTCCACGCTCACTGGTCGGGCGACGGAGTGGTTTAGAACACTGCAACCGGTCTATATCTCTGATTTTGCCAGTCTGGCGATGAAGTTCAACCGGAAGTTCGTCACCTCCAAGGTTATCCGGAAGCCCTACATGTACCTCAAGAAGGCCAAGCAATTGGAGGGGGAGAGCTTGACCGAATTTCTAGTCAAGTGGAAAGCGGCGGTCGGGGAGGTCGAGCCTATGGACGACCTGACGGCCATTCACATGCTGCACATCTACCTCCGGGCCGGTTATCTGTACCAGGATTTTATACTCCACCCGCCTGCCACTTATGAAGAAGCCCTCCGTAGAGTGACGGATTATGCCAACGCTGGTGAGGCAAATGCCGTCAAGAGGTCGGCACATCATCCCGAAAGCCTTTCGGTCGGGCGGGTCATCGGTCGGGTGACGACCATCCCCGACCCCGAACCCGACCAGGAGAGTTCATGGCGTTGAACCTATCAGCGGCAGAGGCCATGCAATATGCTCAGTCCTGCAACCTTATTCGTCTACCTCATCCCGGACCGGATGGGAAGGATAAGTCCAAACATTGCTCTTATCATCGGTGTGCTGAGCATGACACGGAGGAGTGCACGCACTTGAAACAGCTATTGGAAGACTTGTTTCAATTGGGGAAATTGGATAAATGTGTTGGCAAAAGAGAAGAGAGCAAAAGAGCAAGCGACCGGAAAGATTATAGATGGTCCCATCATCGCTCTGACCGATCGGATCAAGACCGTAGAGATCCCGATCCCCCATCTAGTAGCCGACCGGCATCCAAACTGACCATTCACGTTATATTCGGAGGTTTGGAAGATGCTTCCCGGCCTCGAGAAAGTTGCCCGGTCGCAATCGTCGACTCCCGGAAAACCGGTAAGAGGCAAAAGATGGAACCAATTACCTTATCTCTGGAAGACCAGCAGGAAAGCGGAGACCATGGGATAGAAGCCCTTGTTCTCACGATTGATATCATGGGAACCGATGTCCAAAGAGTAATGGTGGACACCGGGAGCAGTTTGAACGTCCTTTATTTGGACGTGTTTGAAAAGCTGAAGTTGGACAAGCGGGAGTTGATTCCGGTCGGCGTACCCTTGTCAGGATTTACTAGGGCCACCATACGCCCCTAGGGAAAAATTGTGCTCCTGGTTGAGATTGGTACTTCACCAAGATCAGTAAAGACAGAGCTGGAATTTGTTGTGGTCAACTTACATTGTGTCCATAACGTCATCTTGGGCCGACCGGCCATTATGAGGGTCGGCGGAATCATATCGATGCCTCACTTGTGCACGAAGTTCCCCACCCCCGCTGGGGTCGGAGTTGTGCGAGGCGATGTCCAATCGGCGAGAAAATGCTATTCCCGGGCAGTCAATCGGCGTGATGCCGGTTCTTCCCGAGTGAACACCATTATCAAGGAAGCCGTCGGAGATCAGAATGAACAACCCGAGCCCTCTAAGGAAATAGAGGAGGTTCCTTTGTTTGAGGAGCGATCAGAAAGGAAGATAAAGATCAGTCGGGCCCTCACCCCCGAGTTACGATTGGAAGTGTTAGCGATCCCCCGGGAATTCGCTAATATATTTGCATGGGGGCCTAAAGACATGCCCGGGATTGATCGAACTGTAATCTGTCACAAGTTAGCTGTAGATCCCGCGACGAAACTGATCGTTCAGAAGACTCGGCACCTATCATCTGATAGCCGAGAGTTTGTCTGAGAGAAGGTGAAGAAAATGGTGGCAATTGGACATATCCGCCCGGTCACTTATCCCGAATGGGTGACCAACATTGTACTTGTTCTGAAGCCTCCATCTTGGAGGATGTGCATCGACTTCACCGACCTAAACAACGCATGCTCGTTGGATCTATACCCGTTGCCGAGTATCCATCAGATGGTTGATGAGACGGCCGGGGCCGAGCTGATGAGCTTCATGGACGCATTTAAAGGTTATCATCAAATTATGATGAACTATGAAGACGAGAGTAAGACGGCCTCCGAAATGTAGGAGCAACTTATCAGCAGATGATCAATATGCTCTTTGAAGACCTGCTAGGCCGAACGATGGAAGCTTACATTGACGACATGCTGGTGAAGAGTCGGGAGCGAGCAGATCATACTCGGGATCTCCGACAGTGCTTTCAAATCATGCGGAAATACCAGCTACGTTTGAATCCCAACAACTGCACGTTTGCTATGCAATCGAGAAAGTTCCTTGGTTACATGATGACGAAAAGAGGAATCGAGCCCAACCCCGCCAATGTCAAGGCAATTTTCGATATGCAGTCGACCACGACCGTTCGGGAGGTGCAACAACTGACCGGGAGGTTGGCGGCCCTAAGCCGATTTCTTTCAAAATTGGCCGATGTATTCGTATGGGATGATGAATGTCGAGCGCCTTTTGACGAGCTGAAAGAGTATCTGATGTCGCCGATCGTCTTGTCAAAGCCCGAGCTCGGGGAGGAGCTAGACGTCTATTTGGCCGTTTCCGATCGAGCTGTCAGTGCGGTGTTGTGCCGAACAGATTCGGAGGGGGTGCAGTGACCGGTTTACTATGTGAGCCACGCGCTCCATGGTCCTGAGCTCCGCTACTCCCGGTTGGAAAAGATAGTCTACGCTTTGTAGACAGTAGCAAAGAAGTTGGCTCCCTATTTCCAAGGTCGAGCCATTCATGTGTTAACCGACCAGCCAATCGGGGCAGTTCTCCGTACCGCTTCTTCTTCCGAACGCCTGGTCAAGTGGGCGTTGATGCTGACTCAGTATGCTATTGAATACCGATCGAGACCAGTTATAAAGGGCCAATCTTTGGCAGATTTTTTGGTCGAGTGTACCTCTCGGGAAACACGACCTCCGGAGGTCGAAGATCCTGAGGCGGCATTGTGCTCGTTGGCCACCGATGGGTCGAGTAGCAAGAAAGGAGCGGATGGAGGAGTCGTGATAACAAGCCCGGAGGGCTTCAATGTTTACTATGCCTTGATGTATCAGTTCAACCTGACAAACAATGAAGCCGAGTATGAAGCGTTTGTTAATGGCTTGCAATGCGCTCGAGAATTGGGGGCTGAATACATCCGGGCACAAATTGACTCTGCATTGGTGGTCGGACAAGTCCTGGGCGATTACGAGGTCAACGGAGAACGGCTACAAGCCTATCGAGATCTCGCCATGGAGAAGCTCACTTTGTTCCGGGCGTATACCGTCCGCCACGTTCCCCGATTAGATAATGCCGATGCAGACATCTTATCCAAGTTGGCACAGGATGCCCCTGAACACATGTCGAAGATCGCTCGGATTCTGATGATTCTAAGACACAGTATTCACCGATTGCCGGTCGCACCTATCCAACCGGCCGAGAAAACTTGGATTTCCGATTTAATGGAGTATCTTCAACACGGTCGGTTACCGGATGATCCTCAGCGTGCCCGGAAGGCTAAGTTAAGAGCACCAAGATTTCAAGTTCAAGAGGGTCGTTTATATAGGCGGTCGTATGGAGGTCCATTGATGCGGTGTTTGACTTCCTTTGAAGCGGACCTAGTGATGAACGAATTGCATTCGGGCATGTGCTCGTCGCACCAGGGGGGCCGGTCACTTGCCCGACGCATCATGGTGATCGGGTACTATTGGCCGTCTATTCAGTTGGATTGTAAAAAGCTAGCCAGAGGGTGTGAGACGTGTCAGCTATATGCCCGGATGCCTGGACGTCCAACAACATTCTATCAGCCGGTCACGACCGCGATTCCATTTGCCTGTTGGGGGGTAGACATCTTGGGACCCTTCCCGCAGTTACCTGGTCGAAGGCGTTTTGTCATTGTGGCCATAGACTATTTCCCCAAATGGATCGAAGCCGAGCCCTTAGCCATGATCACTTCTCAACAGTGTGCCAAGTTTCTATGGCGTAATGTTATTTCCCGGTTCGGTGTGCCCGTTCATCTGATCAGTGACAACGGCCGGCAGTTCATAAGCCAATATTTTCAAAATTTCTTGGCAACGATCGGGACAACCTCAATCCGATCGGCTATGGCTTACCCGCAGGGCAATGGCCAAGTAGAAAACGCCAACCGAACTATCTTGGAGGGCTTGAAGAAAAAGTTGCACTCGGCCGGTCGTAGCTGGGCTGATGTGCTCCCGTATGTGCTTTGGACATACTGCACGACCCCTAGAGAGGCAACGTTGGAGACACCGTTTGCTTTAGTTTATGGCGCTGAAGCACGGTTACCGATCAAAGCATGGATCCTGACCACCAGAGAGCGATCCTATAATGCGGAAGAGAATGAACACTCTATGGCCGTGGATCTAGACGACGTTGAAGAAAAGAGGGAGATCGCGACTCGGCGCATGGCCGAGTATCAGAAGAGGGTCAAGAGCACAAAGGACGTCAGGGTTCATCCACGATATTTTCAAGTCGGAGATTACGTGCTACGACGTCGAGAAACTAGCTACCCGGGCACTTACCGGTTAGAGACAACGACCGGAGAGTGATCGAGGGCACATGGAATTTAGAGAACTTAGTCCTATTTAGGCATTGATGTAACTTTAGATGGAGGGGGGGCTCAACCTGCGAGTGGGCATGTCCATCATTGATCAGCTTTGTAAACTTTGTAAATATATAACCGTCTGTGTACGTGAATAAATAATGTATCGGCGATCGATGATTGCTCGACTGTTTGTACACGGCGGCTCGGTCGGCTTATGATTTATGTAAATATTAAGTAGTTTGGTGAAATCTACTTCGGAAGTTTGCCTTGATCGTGTTTCGACCCACCGAGACTCAGCATCAACGATCGGGAGGGGCGAAAGCCTCATGACCGCAATGTCACTTAAACTTGCCCGATTATACCGGGATCTAATCTCAGTTACAACTGATAAAGGTACACACCTCTCCATCGGTCCCGACCGATAGGGGTATAAACCTAATTGGCTTTTAAATCCATCTACATACCAGCCGGACAATTGATAAAGGCCGGCCTATAACGCTCATCTTCGGCGGACAATCGGGTCACGCCATCGATCGGGGAAAGCAGAGCTTCAAGATATATACCCGATCAGCTTCACTTCTTTCCACTGTCGCACTCACTCGTGCCTCATGTGCACGGCAGTGTGGGGGCTAGTGTGAAGGGAATAAAGGCCAATAGGCCAAGAGGTCGGGTAGAAACTCGAACAAGAAAAGGTTGAGCAAAACGACTGGTTAAAAAATGCATGCGTGTAAAACGTAACAAATGCGAATACAGACCAAAAATTTAATTTAATTAACATCAAAAGTTGCCCGGTACAAGCGGGACCGGGCTCCCGATGGAGTACACTTCATAAAAAGTAAAAAATAATTACATCAATGGTCGGTAACTACACGACCTTATCTACATTCTTCTCACCGGTGCTCGGCTCGGCCGTGGCTTCGGGGGTAGATGGATCGGTGAAAGGGGCTGGGCTGGGGTCAGGAACCTCGTCGGGAAGGGTCGACAGGACGGACTTCAAATCATCGCCCTCGAAGGCCTCCTTCATAATGGATCGGGTCTCCTCCCGCATAGTCCGCTGATCGGACTTGAACGCCCAGTGCCCAAAGGTCCAGATCATGTCCTCCCCGAGCTTATTCTTCTTCAACTCCTTGAAGAATTTCTCGGCCGAGGCCTCATCCCAGCAAAGGAACCTTGCCAGGCCTTCGAGATTGCCCAGTCGGGCCTTCAGCTCGGCCGCCTCTGCCAGTGCTGCCCGAGCGGCTTTCTTGGCGATATCCAGAGCGTCCTTAGACGCCTTCAGGCTGTAACGGAGCTCGGCATTTTCTTCTCCCCGCCGCTCGGCGACCTTCCTCAGAGCGTCGACCTCATTGGCCAATAGCGCCCGGTGCTGGAGATATTTGATCGCTCGGGACAGCTCCAAAAGAAAACACATTAGCTCGAGCGACTATAGTTTGCTAAAACTAAAAAAGTAACGAAATCATACCTCGACCAAGTCTTGGCCGCTCTTCTCGGCCACCTGCCCGGGCGTAAGCTTGCTGAGATCCTCCTTGATCGGTCGGAGATTACCGATCCGGGTGAGGATAGACTCATCCCCCATAACGGCCCCACTCGGGGGTCTGTTCTGCTTGCGGCGGCGTTTGAGCGCCCCCTTCTTCCAAGTCCTTCCCGGACATCTTCTCTTTGCCCTTGTGAATGGGGGCTCGGGGAGCCAGAGCGTCGGTCGTCTCCACGACCACGGCCCCTTCAGCCGTAGTTATTGTCGAAGCGCCCAGCGGACGAGCGTCCGGGATAGGGCCACCTTCGGTCTCCTTATCGCTGTATAACCCGGCATCATTCTTCTTCTTCCCGAGCACTATCTTTGGCTCGGGGCGAGACGGTATCTTTGAAGTTGCGTGGCGGACCTATCTCTGCAAACAAAAGCCATGTGGTAAAAAAAGCAGATCAGATTATGATCGGGAGAGTTATGGTCGGGAAAGCTAGGTTAGCGTTAGACCTTCATTGACCGGCTCGGCCTGAGGAGCCGCTACGCAACCGATACGCCCGTTGGTCGAGGTTTGTACTTCTGTTCCAGGTCGTATCGAGGTGGCGGTAATCAGGCAGCGTCGTAGGTCTCCCTCGTCCGGAATATCTTATACTCGTAAATCTCACTAGATATCCAGAAAGTCGCTTCGCGGAGGGCTTGGGTCTCGTCCGGCTGCACTTGTTTCCTGTAGTACGTCCCCCACGTCCGGTCGACCGGGAGAATGCACGAGTCGTATTTGACCGAGAATATCCGGTTCTTCCACCCTTTGTTGTTCCCGGGCAGATCCTCGATCGAGCACAAATCAGCTCGGGACTGAATCATTAAGAAGCCACCCCCATACTTGGCCGCCAAGGGCTTGACCTGGTAGATGAAGTTGAAGAGCTCCATCGAACACGCAACGTTGTGCCGAGCGTAGATTTGCGGAAAGCATGCCAGGATGCGATGCGCGTTCGGGCATATTTTGTCGGGTAATAACCGGTAATAGCCTAGGAACGCAGTAAAGAGGGCAGAAAGGGAAAGTGATCGGGGCTTGCAGCGAATCGAAATGCATCCAGATCCACTTCCCTTGGTGGCGTTCCTTTATATGCCCTAGGCACCATCGGGTATCGAATTGCACCCGACCGTTTAACCTTGCGGTGATCTTTGCCGCTTCGTGGGTCGTCAGCAGGCATTCTTGTTGCTCGACGCTCTCGCTGTTGAGGAAGATGAACTCCGGCCCGGCGGCTGGTGCGGTCGTTTCTTCCTCGATCGGGCCCAGTGTGGCTTCTCGGCTATGTGTAGGGATAGAAGCCCCGTGGTCAGCCCCTATTGTCCTTGTAGGCGTTTCTCCAACGTCTTCGGTCGGAGGTTCGCTACCGCTCGTTGAGGTGCTGCTCTCGCTGCCCCTGCCGCTGCTTGAACCACTCGACCCTGATGAGCTCTCTGAGTTGGAAGAGCTTTGTCGCTTGGGAACCTTGCGCGTTCGTTGAACGACCTCGACGTCTTCAGGCGAGGACGCTTCTATTTCTATTTCCTCGCTAAACTTCTCGACTGCATCGTCGTAATCCGCCCCCGAGATGTTCTGGCTTTCAGAATCCGACATGTCCCTTTCCTAAAGGAGACGGTTGTGTTTTCAGTAGATGGGGTCGGTTATGGTTCGGTCGGGGTTAGTTGGGTGCCGAAGTCGGCCGTTGTGCGAAGGGATAAAGGAAGGAAGGAAAGAGTAGGGAAAAGAGAGACTCACCGATTGAGTAGTGTCTACTGAAGACGTTGAAAGCTGTTGCTCGATTGATGCACAGTGCTGCTCGCTCGGGAGGCTCCGGTTCATTCTCACGGGTTGGTAAAAGTTCAAATGAACCTCAGAAGGGCCCATTTATAGGAAAAATTTAGGCGGGAAACAGACCACTTGCGCAATTTGACCGTTGCAGACTCCAAGACGCGCAGAGGCCGACACGTGGCATGACAGACGACAGCTATACGGTCGGGAGCGAAGGGCGAGTGATTAGACCTTTTCATCCCGTCCCATTTTTTTTCGAGCGGTAAAAAAGGCACGGGCTGGGGGCTCTTGGTAGGATATATCTCAACCGACACTCCTTTGCTTCTCTCGTTCTTTGTGCAGGTTTTGCAGGTTGTACATTCTTAAGGAAAGTCGGTCGGACCCGGCCGACAAACTTCGCGACCGGGCTTTTATTACCCGCTCGGTGGGTCTTATCTCACGGAGAGTCAAGGATCTCAAGAAGAGGCACGTGGCAACGTTACACGTTGACAGATAGGGCTCGCCGGATGAAGACGCGTGGATGCTACGTGGGTCACATGCCGGCCGGCCGGAGCTATGTCTCCGGTCCAGCGGCTATAAGTACCCACAACGGTTAAAGTGTGAGGGACTTTTGAACGATCGACAGATTATCTACAGAGCTGCCCGACCGCAGTCAGTCGGCCCTCGGGATAATCACTTAGATTGTATTAGGTTCTTCTTGATCAATAAAATACTTTATTTGTTATTACTTGATCTCATTTAAGTACCTTGACCGCTTAACACGTGGAATTAGTACTATCATATATATATATATATATATATATATATATATATATATATATATATATATATATATATATAGGAAAACCATTTTGAAGCAGGAAGATATATACTTAGGAGGCTCTAGCTTTAAAATCAGGAATAGACTCGACAAGTAGGGACAAGCACATTCAGCAGTTATAATCAAGTATATAAAGATACTAGCATATATCCTAAGGTCACAAGTTTATTTCACATCATTCATGTCATCATTCAATCACTATCTTATCATATAAGCACACTTTGGTGGTGCCACAGGACCAATCGCATGCCCATACATGAGGGTCAGCGCATATAGCGCTAACACGGCCCCGCAGCACCCTGCCTCGTAGCGCAGCACGAAGGGGTTGACCGCCGCAGCCAACCGATGAACCGCAGCTCATCAAAACGTTTGACCGCAGCCAAACGGTGGACCGTAGCCCAAAAGTGTATCTCTGACCGCAGCCAGGATTATGAATCGCAGCTCATGTAAAACGTTTGATCGCAACTAAACGGTGGACCACAACCCAAATGTGTATTTCTGACCGCAGCCAGCTTATGAACCGCAGCTCATGTATAGCCAATTTGATCGCAACTAAATTGGGGTATCATGCCCACATAACACATAGCAAGCACATGCAACCTACATTAACACATTGGGAAAGGGGAGAAAACGTATAAAGAAACCTATGCATGGTCATCCACATACTAGGAATAATCCTAAGGGTTCATACTCCTTTCACCTAGGCCAACGGGGTACCAATTCAACTAGCATGCAATATACAAGACCCTTTTATCTTAAGAACGGTACCTAAAATATCAAACTAGACTCAGGCACGATAAACGGAGTCCGTTGGGACACCACGAGGGTCGGGAAAACATCAAACGGGGAAACCTGTAACACCCCAAAATTTTGGACCTTCTAAAACTTATATAATAAAGGTAATTCATCATTAAATCTCAAAATCAA